TGATCAATGGGGTGACAGGTATCATAACCAGATCATCATCACATCACAAAAAAGAGGTTGTAAGAAATACCACGTAAGCTAGGTGACTGCAAGGCATCATCTAAAAATGAAAAGCATACAAATTAAAATGCAATTACACTACAATTTAAAATCAGTTAAAAAAGCTTGGGGAAATAGAAAGGTATTTACATGATCTGAAATGATACTAGAATGGGTGTCAGTTAAGTCTCTCTCAGTAGGGAATTCCATAAAACCTCCCCAACTTGTAGAGGTCCACTTAACCTCCTAGAGAGGACCTGGATAAGAACCTCATTAAAAGACAAGGCACATGAGATAAAAAAGTTTGAAACTCATACAACACATGAAGCCTTTGATTCTGCAGTTCACAGTAGCCACAAGGCTCTCATTTTCATTGCAATGGGACCAACGAGATAACTGGTCTCCAACCTTTCTGGCATTTCAGACTAGCGGAGGGGGGAAGGATGGTTCCTACAAGCAGTAGGTGAGTGGCACATACAGTTTCATTTGTGCGAGAAACCGGGAGACACACCTACCACTCATATTAATAGAGCTCGGTGTGCACTTTCCTGCCATTCCTGTAGCCCAGTTCCAAACAGGCCACAACCTGGTACTGGACCACAGCCTGGGGTTTGGTGATCCCTGAATAAGATTGCAATAAATGAGGCAAATTGACTGATGTTGTGATAAGGCAATTTAAGGCAACTTGGAGATGTGGATTAAATATCCTGAATGGTGGCATCTATTTCTGAAAAATTATATTGTCATCATTGTAAACTGTAGAGAACATTGTTTCAGTTTTAGTGGGAATGGGATAATCTTTCAAATTTTTGGGAAAAATTTTTTTAAATTATATAACTAATAGAATATTAATTTGTCTACAGAGTTTTACTATCTATATTTTATAGTTAAATAAAAGTAGCAAATTAAAACAAGAGTAGCAGCCAAATAAAGTAACACTCAATAATAGAAATATTCAGATAATGTATCGATAGAAGGTATGGTAAGATTTAGTCTACATTTCTGCTTGAGGATTTTTCTGATGAAATTCATTGTTTGTCATTGCAAAGAAACAAACCATTCTTCTACAAGTAATGGTAGAACAAATAAGCATCCTTGAAACACACTGTTTCAGAAATTGTGAAAATCATGTGGTATACAGCACCCTTTTGTGAAAACTCCATAAGTAACAAATACATTCCTTGGTTATTCAAAGGACAAACAGCTTCTGGGCATAATAGTCATTGTGACTTCTCTAGAAATAGTAGGCATTTTAATATATTTGTTGTTATTTTTAAGTAAGGTCTGTGATAAAGTAAATGAAAATACATTATAAAAATAATGTTAGCGTAAAACACAAGAGAAGAGATTAACATGCCAAACAATTGAGAATGAGTCTCAAATTAAGGAGTAAGATGCACAGAATTTAAAAGGGACAACATTAAATCAAATCTATCATAAATGAGACAGAGAATCTATTTGATGAAGATAATCTAGCAACTACCAAATAGGTCTTGTTGTTATCAAGGTGATAAGATGTATCACAGAGCTTCTGATAACAATTACAGACTACAGAACAGTTTCATATGGAAGGACACATCACGGCTACAGTCACCATTAATGTATTTATAAAGTTAAAATCAAGTATGAAATGGTACGTGGAACCAGAAGAAGACATGAGTAAAGTTGACCCAAAGTTGATACAATGTGATCTATAAAATAATTTGCTGAGAAATATTTTTTGCATTATATTTGTGGACAATGGTCCATGCTAAATTCTTTATAATAAGTTAAATAAGTCATGACCTGACTTCTGAAAGACAATGAAACTGGACTTATGGGACAGTAATGATGAATTGAAGTGCCAACAACAGCAGCAAAGCTACTGGTGAGTAGACCAGTTCCTTGAAATTTATTTGGAGAGGAGTGAACAGTAGATTGCTCACAGGTGCTCTGGATTGCATTTCCTTATGAGAAGACCACAAGACAATGCTTTTCTGTGGATTTGATGGCTGGGACATGAAGGGATTACCCATCTTGCTTGGAACCAAGTAGTGGGACCTTTTAAAGGACACAAAGTTTGCAAACTCACTTCTAATCACCTTTGGAAATTGCAACAACTCCAAAGCTGTTAAAGACCTTTAGAATGACAAGTTAGAAAAGTTTTCATTGGGAGAATTTAAGTTCAACTCTGAACAAATGAAAAATTAGTTGCAAGCTTAAGAACATATGGAATATGAAATAAAGAGCAAAAAACTGAATAAGATTTTGATCTTAGAAAGTTATAAATAGACTAAAGGTCTGTATAAATGTTGAATGCTGAAACTTTTTCAACAAGATTTTGGAATTATTTATGAAGAACAAACAGCTTTTCATGAGAAATAGATGTGTTTTGGTTTTTGGAAGACCAAGATATATAATTTCATGATTTAAAAACTGGATACCAGATGCTATTAAAGAAATGACAGATGTAGAACAAATTTTATCTTACTAGAGAGAAATACAAATTATAAACCAAGAGAGTGACAGGCATAATTTCTTTCTTATTGGATTTACAACAGAGGCTTATTAAAACCTAGAAGAATTCTGTGTGATGAGACAAAAAAGAAATAAAGAAAAATCAAATCTTGCAACAATAATAAGGCTGTGATAAAAATAAATAGATAAAAATATTTGAATTGGCTAAAGATGAAGGCTATTAAAAATAAAAGAAAGGAATATAAAGTTGGTTTATTTGATCAAGATTAAAATAAGGTGTTATCTCTGTCAACTCTTTATGGACTTAAAAGATAATGCTTTATGGATTTGTCTATAGATAAGGGATGGGATATAAGTTGAAAAGATAAATGTTTGTAAACTAAGAGGAATGAAGAGTCACTAAATTTGTTTATTCTTGTGACAAAGGTTAGAAGTCATTTCTTTATAGATTTTCTTTAATATAGAGATATTAATTTCTTTTCTCATTTCCTTGCACCTTTTATTCTTTCTTTTTTTGATTTTGTATTATATTTTACTATAGTAAACATACTTACTAAAATTATATATCATAAAAATAATGAAACTGGCTGAGTGGATGCATTTCTAATTATTGTTGGCACAGTGATTCAAAAGCAACACAGAATTGTGTTCATGAAGAGGTGGTCTATGATTAACAAATTGGGTCTAGTTTAGGCTGAGCTCATATATCAGAAAGAATAAATGTCAAAATACAGGTCCTAGGAGAATTCAGTCTGGTCTTAATTGTAGGTCTAAATCAGTGATTTGCTGGGCGATGATAAGCCTTATGAGAAAGGAAAGAATGCTGAACAAATTGGTGTTCAAAGCAGGTAATATCCCTTTAACCAACCCACACTTTCTGTTGCAAGTGCCATTCATTATGACAAAATAATTGCTTTGTACTAAGCAGTGAAGAGTTGCTCATTAGAAAACATTGCACAGACATAATTTCTTTAGCTCAAGCAGCTATTGGCCTGATACTTAGAATCTGCTTTTAAAAAGCTTCTGTGAATGTGTTAACTTTGGCTTTAGGCAACACATAGGCAGGCAGCTGTGCAGTTCACTGAGCACTAAAGCTATAAATGTTAGCTTAATGCAAAGCTAATGATAATGACTACAGTAGTGCATCATAGTAATTTACTAGTACATTGAGTTTTTTATGGTGCTTGCTTCAAGACTGGTGAAGAAAATCACATAAACTGCACCTTGAATAATCTAATTAAAATAAGTGCATTTTTACTCCCTGCAGATTCGTTACAAGGGAAACATTTATGTTCTTCCATCCCACAATTACTGGATAGATAGTTTTGTTATCATCAGTTTGACAGAATCTGCCATTCTATATAATAAACTGATCTTGCAGGGATAAAAGTGCATGCTGCATTAACATGCCTCAGTAACTCTCTACTTTTGTAAACTTCATATACAAAATCTTTTTATTGTAACCTGAATTTTGAGATGACCTCTAAGGAGAATGTTAGGAAAGAAAATGTAAGTTCACTTTCACTTACTCATTAACTCATGGTTAATCAGATACTTAGACATTGTTTTTTAAAAAAACATGAATTTGGAATATGCTTACAATAAGCTGATATTTTTTTTAAAAAAATTATATGTTGCCTGATTGTCGTGTCACCACAATAGACCAACCCTCATTTTCTGGAAGACAGAAACAGTCAGCAACTAATCTTTTTAATTCCATGCGGAATATCAAAGTAAGCCATGGTGCATTTTTCTGCTCCACTTTCCAAAATACAATTTTCCATGTTATGTTGCCTAGAGCACTTCTGTTTCTTTGGGATAGCTAGTTTGCTTCAGTTTGTTCAGGATAACCTCAGAAATTCATTAGCTGTTTTACAAAGGCAAGAACACCCCTCCAATTGAGTCAGTGCTTACATGGTTCAGTGATCATGTAAATAAAAATTAAATCAGCTACCTCACCCAAATTCCTCACCATGACTAGAAATATTAACAAAAGGTATTTTCTCAAATTTAAACAATATAATGAATTTGTAAAAAAATGTGGTAAATTCAGAGAAGTATAATTTGAATGTTTCCTGTCAAATCTGATGTTTCCTATTTCTTATCCATATTTTCCTTATCTTTACTGCAATGTTGTTTATCCTTAGTGTAAACTTGAGAACTTACTCCTAATTTGCCTCTAATACAGGTAATCCTTGATTACCTGTATTAACTGATCCCAACATTTCTGTTGCTCAGTGAAAAATTTGTTAAGTGAACTTTGCCCCATTTCACAACCTTTGCCACAGTTGTTAGGTGAATTATTGCAGTTGCAGTTGTTAAGTTAGTAACACGGTTGTCAAGTGAATCTGGCTTCCCCATTAATTTTGCTTGCAAAAGGTGATCACATGACTCCTGGACACTGCAACTGTCAGAAATACAAGTCAGCTGCCAAGCTTCCAAATTTTGATCACATGACCATGAAGAGGCCACAACAGTCATAAGTGTGAAAAATGGTCATAAATCCCCTTTTTTCAGTGCCATTGTAGCTGTGAGCAGTCACTAAATGAACTGTTGTAAGTTGAGGACTACCTGTGCAAAGGTGAATACAAAGTCCAGATCTTAGTTAGAAAAAGCTACATGACTGTTCTGCGTTGTCTAGCAGAGACTAAGGCAAGATACTGATTTAGTTTTACCAAGATGACTATCAAGATCCCACCAATCAACAGCATACTTGGGCAGGCAAAAGCAATTAGAAAGCCTTCTGGGGGGTACAATCTCTTGAAAAGGACGCTCTTTTCTTCTCCTGATGGGTCATAGTGGCAAGGAATCCTTTGATTCATTCTGAAATAATCTCTTGCCTCTTCTACTTGCTGCTGAACTTGTTCATAATTCCCCATAACAAGGGGGATATAAGAGCACTGCAGAAAAAAAGAAAGAAAACTCAAGGTACTGCTTTTCACAATTATTGACTGAGGGTAAAAGAGTAATTTAGGAGTACTTTTAATCAGTGCTGCTTTAATATTGTTTTTTTTCTGCACTGTGGCTGTTGTGAACTAGATTATGAATACTACATGTATCCAGTAGTGGGTTTCAATTTGTTTTATTACCAGTTTGCTCATGCACATGCAGAAGTGTCCAGGTGGGTGGGCGGAACTCCCTCCCCGGTAGGAACCTACCTCTGAGGGGAATCCATGAGCTTTCCAAAGCTATCCTTTATTTACTTGTAGTTTACTTGGGTTTTTCAGGGCTAGAGGAAGATTATAACTCAACCTATTCTTACAAGCAATTAAATAATTAAAAGTCTTTTCTTCTGCTTTGATTAGAACTAAAGGAAGTACTTGTTCTACACATATGGTATAAGAGTGCAAAGAAAATATTGCTAGGAAAAAACAGGGATCATAGCCTTCCTTCCTTCCTTCCTTCCTTCCTTCCTTCCTTCCTTCCTTCCTTCCTTCCTTCCTTCCTTTGAAATATTATTTATGTAAGCATAGATAGAAAGGAAGTTGTTTATTTATTTATCAAGTCAGTACACGACCCATTTCATCTGCATAACTGTGGACAGCTTACAAATAGAACATCAGAAATGAACTAACAGATTTGCTAATAAGCAGGATTTTAGATGAGAGGAAAATGGATTCATGAAATTTTATTGAAGAAGGTGAAAATTAAAAGTACTACAATTTCATACATTTTTGAAATTTGAGAATTAAATATTTAAATTTCATCTGAGAGTTATGAAGCCTCTGATAGCGAGACTTTCTCAATTGTAAACAGTGAAGGGAACACTATGTCTATTTTTGCAATTACGTTTCATGTATAAGTCCGCTTCCTTATAATTTTCTACAGATGTTTGATCTGTAGCCATAGGGGGTAAATCCTATTGGATAAATTGGGACATACAGTAGATATTTATACAGTAGATTAATGTTATAGCTTGTGTTTTCACTTTTTCCCCAATACACATAAAGGTGAGGGCACAGTTTCATGAAGAAACAATTAGAAATATTGCAATAGGTGGACTAATATATACTTTAAACTATAAATTTATTGGGGATAAACATATATAGAATGATGCTGTTAAATTTTTTAACACTCTGAAAAGTTAGGTTAGCCATTGATATCAGAATTGAATTGAATTGTTGGTGAGATGAATTTTAAGTTCTGCTGAGAGTTGTATCAATTGTCTAAATAATAAATATTATATAAGAAGCCTAAGAAATATTTTGAGAAAATGCTAAATATAAAGCATTAATAGGATTCTATGGTATTGGGGAAGGAAAGGAGGAATGTCTAGTGTTACGAACCATAGTTATACCTTAGAGATCCAATTTTACTTAAGATGAATTAGCTCATGGCAATATTTAATTTACACAAAAAAGTAAGTCCTCCCTTAAAATTAGGACTGTTTAATTGAAAAGGCTGGAAATCTAAGGTCCACCCCATTTTGAAGGAAGTAACCAAATACAGTGTGAGTATTCCTGATTTCTCTTTTTAATTGCTCTTGCCTGCTGGGAATTGAATGTGTAAGCACCATTTCAAGGCCTTAAAGTAAACATTGAACTGTCCATTAGGGAAATCTGCTTCATTGTGTTTGTCTACAGAATTATAGATTGCCATGTAAAGGAAATGATTTTCTGCTAGGCTATGAATTATGGCAAAGTGATGGGTTCCATAAGAAATGAGCCTGAAAATGAAGGAATGTAAAACATGATTAATTTCAAAGAAGGAGAAAGGTAGAGGGAACAGTGTTTATATATTACAGCAAATAACACATATTATAGTATTTGATATAATTCTGTATTCCTCTTACATTGTGCAAGGATGAGCATGTTTAGATTTATTCTGTTATAAACTCTGATAATTTGTATCATTCAGAATTCCAGAAGAAAATGTGGATTTGGGAGGACAGAAATAAATCCTGCACATATAACCTTGCAGTAGTGATACTGAATAATAATGACTTCTATTTGTTGTACACTGCCCAGAGTCCCTCTTTGAAGGAGATGAGCCATTCAGAAATACAATATATGTAGAGGGTAACGTTATTGGTTTAAGTATAACATTCTTTCAAAGCTGCTATATGAAATATGTCTAGGAGTTGAGGCAAAGGCAGTATAAATTTATTGATGTGGGGAACTTCACTAAGGCAAAACAATGCTGCCTTACACCACACTATTACTTAAATACCTTTGAGCTCAAATGACGTCTGACCTTTATGTGAGGAACAAATGTATAAATACTATCAAACTTGCACATTGCTGGCATGCTAGGAATTCAGGACTGTGGTTGAACAAAATTCATTACTATTTAGAAACCTTTATTATTTGCATTATCTACCATTATCTACCAAACTCGGTCAAAGGGAGTTACCTTTTGCTTCAATGATATTTCAGGACAAGAAAGGATAACTTGGCAAGAATAGCCATTGTGTCACCATTTATTATACCTCTTCTTTGCATGTAGCCCGGTTAGAATTTGCTGAGTAGCAGTAGAATTTACAGCCTTAATATATAGCATACAAACCTTGGGATTTCTTTCCACAGTTTGCTCTGTATAGTACAGCATTACTACTTGGCCTAAATGGGTTAAATTCACATAGACTTCCAGACAAGGATAGTGAAAAATATATTTATCCTCAGAGCCTTCAATGGATGAACATTGGTCTTCCTTGATGTTAGCTTTTACTACATCGCATTCACTTTTATCAGCCCAGACACTGCAGAGATAAATTTATTAAGAATTTATGCATAACTTAAGCCTTGTAGTACATAAACATCTGTTTTTGATATTGTCAGCATATCTTGTGTGAAAAACGGGGTGAGACAAAACCGTATTAAAATTATATTGTCTATGTGAGTAAAGGCAAATAGCAATCACAATAGCACTTTGACTTACATACTGCTTCACAGTGCTTTATAGCCCTCTCTAAGTGATATACAGAGTCAGCATATTGCCCTCAACAATCTGGGTCCTTATTTTACCCACCTCAGAAGGATGGAAGGCCAACCTTGAGCTGGTCAGAATCGAACTGCTGATAGTGAGCATAGTTTGCTTGCAATACTGCATTCGAACCACTGCGCCACCACAGTTCTTATGTAGACTTTTAGCAAATGCTATGGCAAAAATTATATATTCTACAGTATATTCCATGATTTTGAGTATGCTTTTCCTATCACCTAGTAGGCCAATAAAATATAAATTCTTTAAATAATGTCTGTGTTTTCAGAAATGCACTTGATTTAATCTCACATGCATTTTTTAAATCCTCTTAATACATAGAATTTACATAATAAGTAATATATTAATTTAGGGTGACACAACCATATTTTTTAAATCCCACATTTATTATTCTTTATAATTTAAGGTGGCAAATATACTTAATACTGCTTCCTCCTATTTTCTTCACAACAACCCTGTGAGGTGGGTTGGGCTGAGAGAGTGACTGGCACAAAAGCACTCAGCTGGATTTCGTGCTTAAAGAACTCACAATCTCCTAGTTTCAATCAATACACCAAACTGCCTCTCGTGTTTATTTCATTAAGATTAGTAGAAATTGAATAGAAAGCTATTTCAAAACATACATGTTAGAAAGGTTGATGATTAAGTGATTAGAATTAATTCAGGATTTCTTTCCACATTTGGATCAGTTTGGAATAATGCAGAAAAGAGTTCCTAATGGATTTGATGGCTCAAATTGAGATAGGAATGGTCTCTATAGACAAAAAACACCCTACCTGGGATTTCACGGTGCCTCAGGACAGAATCCATAGCCATTTAGGAATCTCTGATTCTTAACATAGGAAGCAGATTTCATGCAATTGCAAGGCATCGGATATTTCTTTGGTTTTGTGAATTAGAGTGATTATGAGTAAAAGCTGAAAACAGCACAATCAATCAATCAATCAAAATAGAACTGGAAGGCACCTTGGAGGTGTCTAGTCCAACCCCCTGCTCAAGGAGGTAACCCTATACTCATGATGGCGAACCTATGGCACAGGTGGGTCACAGAGCCCTCTCTGTGGGTATGCTAGCTGAGCCCCAGCTCAACTCCATCGTGCATGTTCAGGGCACATGCGGGAGATGTGCACGTATCCCTGGATGGCATGTGGGGGGGGTCACACATGCATGTGCAGGGGGTGGGGTACATGGGGGGTGATGCACACATACATAGTGATGGGGCACACAGGCGGGGTCACACGCACATTGCATTATTTTGGCACGAAAATGTTAGCCATCACTGCCCTACACCATTTCAGACAAGTGGTGGTTCAAGTGGTGGTTCAGTCTTTTAAAAAGCTCCAGTGATGAAGAACTCACAATTTCTAACAGCAAGCTGTTCCACTGGTTAATTGTCCTCACTACTAGAAGAAAACTTCCCTTTTTGTGGCAGCCTCTCAAATACTCAAATCCTGCTATCGTGCCCCTCCCCCACAGTCCTTCTTTTCTCTACCCTAGCCAAACCCAAATCTGCAACCGTTCTTCATATGTTTTAGTCCCCAGGCCTTTAATCATAGTTGCTCTTTTCTGCACATTTTTTTCAAAGTCTCAACATCTTTTTTGTAATGGGTGACCAAAATGGTGACACAAGGCAAGAGAATATTAGCTGCTGGAGAAATGCAAGAAATAAGACTTGTGGGGACTTGTGGGATGACCTTTATATAATTGCAAAGCTGTGGTTCTTAGAAACTTCCCCTCCAGAAGGCTGGGATGCATTTTAATGCTCCAGATGCACTACTGAATTCAAAGTCCGTATTAATGCTGAGGTAAAAAACATATGAAGGGATGACTTTTCCTTTTAGAAAGGATTTAACATAGTATATGATGTACATTTTTCAGAATTCAGTGTTTGTGTTATTTGCAAAAGATGAAGGAATAGTCAGGGGTGGGTTTCGACCGGTTCGCACCGGTCCCTGCGATCCGGTTGGTTGCTGAACCCGGAAGTAAATAACTTCCGGGAACGGCGAAGGGCGCACCCGCCCGCCCGCGGTCCTTACCCGGTTTTGACGAGTTTGCGCTTTCCATGCATGCGCAGAATGCATACAGCGCCTGCGCGATCTTCCAGGAGCAGCTGGAGCATCGCGCAGACGCTAGTACGCATGCGTGCAGCGCACACGTGCGCGGACGCCACGTGCGTGCGCGAGGACGCCGCCGGCCTCGTTCCAACCGAGCCGGTTGGAACGGGGCGAGAAACCCACCCCTGGGAATAGTGGTAACTTAGTGGTAACCATAGGGGTATGTTCAAATCTGTAAGATAACAGGTGTGGTTTCATGGTCAAAGCCCTGCCTCATCTGCAGTAATATTGACATGAAAGTGGGGAAACAGACAAGGCTTCAGTTCCAAAACTGTACCCACCAGGGTTTAGATTTTTATATCTTTTCTGTGGCTGCCTGATGCCTGTGGTGGACATTTTGGATAACCAAGAGTTCAAATGTTTTTGAGAAGGGACATTTGAATACAATTATTTCTTTAAAAAGAAATGATTGTTGTAGTATGTGAGTAAGTTGTATAAAAGTAAGTCTTGTTGTATTCATGAAAAATTGTGGAAGCTAAGGCAGTTTCGGAATAAAAAATATTATTTGGGAATATTGAAGTAATAACGTGTGTGTGAGAGAGAAAGAGAAAGAGAGGCAGATAGATGCACGCCCATGCGCGTGCACGCGCGCGCACACACACACACAGAGACCTCATGTATCTAATGTCCTTCATTATCTTGAATTATAGTTTCTCAACTGATGCTATTACTGACCATTCTGATGAGGCATAGTTATATATATGTAACTATGTAATCTCTTTGTCTTTTTTGTTGAGATATTTGAGATAGAGGAAGACCAATGTTTTAATATGGGCACTATTAAATTTGGGTTTGCTGGCTTACAAACAGCATTTGCATATTTCTAAAAAATACTGAATGACTTTGAATACTAGTTTGATCCTGAAGGCCATTTCATTCTTGATTTTGATATTCATTACAATGCCTCCTCCCACTCCATGTAAATGCATCTTCCCAGTTAATTTATACTGCTTTTCTCTATCGGAGATCCAAATCCAATGCTATTAACTCTTCAGGATCTCATGAGCTACTGACCTCAAAAAGGTGGTACGGAATGAATAGAAAGTTAAAGATTTATTCTGCATTTTCTTTCTATGTATCACCTTGCCTACTCTTTGTCTAAGAAATTACTAACCTGAAGTCACTTCTTTTTGGCTTTGTTCACAGCACATACAAGGGGAGCCCATGGTGTAGGATTGTGCTTCTGCTAGGACACAGCTAGCAGAGTGCTAGGCTTTGCCTATCCTTCTCATTTATTTCCTGGAAATAAATCACCATTGTAAGATTAAATTCCTGCTGCCAGGAATGGTCTCTCTCTTTCTCACACATACACGGATCCATACTTTTCCCCCTTCCACAACATTCCTTTCCCCTGCTATTTCAGATGTCTTTCTGTCATTCCATCTTTATCTTATTTTCTCGCTTTTTGCTCTCTTTTTTCTGAAATGGGGGAAAATACACGTGGAGGTGGATTCTGTGTCTGATATGTGTAGATAGGGGTGAATCAGTTTTGTTAAATGGAGTATTTTATTTTACATGCAGTTAGTTTGATTAGTAGTTATTAGTTTAATTAGTATTCATTTACTTTTTTGTCCTTACCCTCCGTGTGTGTGGCATTTATACAGAGACATATACTCATCTATATAGACACTGTGTATATAAATCTCACAGAGATTTAATGGCAGCTTTATGCTGCCATGCTTGGACTTTCCTCAACCCATTGTGACAAGTCGGCCTTGGGGGAAAAAAGAATGAAGGAGAAATCCTGGCCCAGCTATATTATTGCCATACAAGTACGGTATTAAGTTCTTAACTATGAAAGAAAGATGATAGTTCTTGTGTTCTAGAAGCAAAAACTTATTCCATTTAGTCAACACAGCTCCCAGTTTAACAATTTATGTTTCAGCTTCAATATATTAATGAACATTATTTATTAAATGCTTTCTGAGTACAATAGAATTTCCATTTTGAGAGGCATCACATTTTCAGAGCTATGTGACATCAGATTCATTTGTATAATCCAGCTAGCCATTCACTGGAAAGGAACATACTCTCTATTGGTATCATTCCTTTCCCCAGCATTTTAAAGGGAGAAATGATGCATAAAAACTGATCAGTTTAATTTCCTCACCTCTGCAAAACTCTGAGAGGAAATAAATCATGGAAATAAGGCATACATTTTGTACCTACACATCCCACAGCACAAAAGAAAGACGTTTTCCATTCTTTCCACTAAGCAAATGTATTCTGCTAAACTTGGGAGTTTTAAACTTCCAAACAGACTCACTTGCTGCTTGGAGACACATTTTATTTTCATGGTTTAAAAAATAATGTTTCTTTTACCTTCTTCTATGTAAATACACCAGGACGATACCAATAAAAAGATACATCATTGCTGAGCAGGCCATCATTCCCAAACCTAGCCATAGGGCCCTGGTCTCCCCTCGTTTCTGTGCTGCCACCAACTTTTTCCGTAACATGACTTCTTGGGATGCTTCTGTGGTTCTTATCTCTGCATAAAAATATAATCAAATCCATTAGGTTTGCTTATATGATAACTCCACTAAAAGTAAACTCAACCTCTTCTGAGAGATTGCATATAACCTCGTTTAATATCATTAAGCACTTAGTTTCCAAAAATAAAACCTCGAGAACAAACCAAATCTCTCAAGGTATACAATAGTATTTACTCACATTTTCAAGGGTAACATCAAAAATCACATCATATTTGATTGTCAGATGCTCAGACCATCAAGTATCCCCACCCCACCCCATAGGATCAGTTTAGTGTTTCATTTGTAAATGCTGGTGGATTTTTTTCAGCCAAAACTCTAAATTTCATTTCTTGAAAACCAGTGGTTCTCATCCCATGCACAGACTAACACAGACTAGCAGTTGAAAATTATTACATGCCGTCACATGGAAATTCAACATTGCTTGGCTGAAGAATTTGCTTTCTGACTAACCTTTGATAGTATAATTGGTGAGATAAAAACAATGCTCAAATATTCAAGCTGTTATGAGAATATCTGAGTTAATAATATTCTTCTCAAATAGAATGCAGGTTTATTCTTTGGGAATGCAGTGGGGAGATGAATGTTCCATCTGACCAAGAGGCAGTGGAATGGATAAGACATTTGGCCCGTTTTCCCTGACAGCCATGTTAAATGCAGAAAAAGTTGACAAATTTGCAATGTTCAGCTATGCTAGAGATTTAGTTACGCATAGATGTAATTAATATGCACATTTCTGTTAATATATACTGAATTTTTCGGAGTATAATAAGATGCACCAAGGTTTTGAAGAGACAAATTTTTAAAAAAAGGTTTTTGCACTCTGCAAACCTCCCAAAATGGCCCATTTTTCACAAAAATGGGCCCGTTTTTTTTTTCCAGAAAAAGGGCATAAATAGCCCTTAGGACGCTTATAGAGTGCTCCTGGGTGGGGGGCAAAAACGAGCAAAAAATGGCTCATTTTTTGTCAAAAAAAAAGGGCATGGATAGCCTTTAGGAGGCTTATAGAATGCTCCTGGGGGCTGGGGGGGAGGGGGCAAAATCATTTCTGCCTTCCCCAGCCCGCAGGAGCTCTCTGAAAGCCTCCTAAAAGCTATGCATGGCTATTTGGGTGAAGGGAGCGGGGTTTCGGCAGGCAAAAACGCTGTATTCAGTGTATAAGATGCACCCAGATTTTCAGCCTCTTTTTTGAGGAAAAAAGGTGCGTCTTACATTCCAAAAAAATATGGTAACTATCTTCCCTATCTTCTTTTGGTACAAAACAGCTTTAGAAGTGTTTTTTTGTCAGAGCTGTGGCAGGCAGAATGAAGTTTTCCTTTCCCTATAGTCTGGTTTTCAGGAATTTGTTTATAAGTTTGGAAGGAAGACAGATTTATTTGAGAAGGGCATATCAGTGATGCTGGGGCTGATGACAATGGAGAGGTTGTGATTCATTTTACTTCACCTTCAGGCTCTCCTTTCAATTGAATTGCAGTCTTGTGCAATCCCCCAAAGTCATCCAAATAGTGAAACTATTTATAACAATCCTTGCAGAGTGTATTTGTAAGGTCTATTGCAGCTCGGATGCCATGTAACTATGCCATTTGGGCCTGCTGTGAAAAGGGAGCTAGACATAATATACTTCTTAATGGACACCCTTGAATAACTTCTACTGTAAGATGCCATGAACCTAAAATATGTCAGCTTCTTTTCTAAAAACAGTGCTATGCTGAACATTTCTTCCACATTATTTCCCCATCAATTCTCTCACAGGCTGCTGGATAATAAACTGCTTTCAAATTTTAATACATTTTTCATGTGTTAAGTCCAGGAGTCTGGAGCTTTAGATTCCTAAATTGATAGGAAAAAGATGAGCATGGTTTTAAAACTGGGAAGGGGGGATTCAATAATCTGCGCCAAATTGATGGTGCTGTCTGCTAGCTGAAAGTGCAAATAATCTACAAGCTCTAGTAATGAAAGTTAAGGAGCACAGAGAAAACAAAATGGGAATACGATTAAACATAAAGAAGACCAAACTAATGGTCACAGAAATAGCAACCAGCTTTAGAATTGACAGTGAAGATACTGAAAGGGTGAATAGCTTCTGCCTAGAATTATCAACACTAAATACATTACTTGTTGCGAATCACACATCACAGACTAGTACAGACTAGCACTTGAACAGCCAGGAAGGTCTTGGAAAAGATACTCAGATGTTGTTGATGTGTGAATATCTATGAAGATCAGAATAGTGCATGCAGTGCTTTTTCCTAAGACTCCATGGAAGTAGAAATTGGACTTTGAAGAAGCAGGATAGAAATTGTATTGAAGTTTTTGCCCGTTGGTATTGGAGAAGACTCCTGAGAATACCATGGAGGGATAAGAAAATAGACAAGTAGGTAACTGAATACATCAAGCCAGAGTTTTCACTCAAGGCACAAACATCAGGTGCAAATGATCCTACCTCAGATTATGTGAAAACTTCGTTTTCTAGCAAAGGTCCTAATGCTTGGAGAGGTGGAAGGACTTGGTTACAGTGACAGTGGGGTGCACCATTGGAATTCCTGTAGAGACTTCCTGGGTTAACAGTTGACATTAACTTTGATGGCACATAATTAATCTTGGTTGTACATCAGATAAACTGGTACATTAGATGGTACGTCTTAGATTAGGTTTTTATCATCCTTTTTTCCTCCCTTCTAGAGTCTGATCGGACCTGATTTTTAAAAAAAGAAAAATTCTCCTTTATTTATTGCCCTTTTAAAACATTTTCAGAAAAGTTCACAAGAAAATTGAACTTATTTTTTAAATAACAATGTTCAGCATAAGTAATAAAAAGGCATATTCTTAAGAGCAAATCACGAGAGGAGCCCACGACACAAACAGTAAAACAGGACCGTATTCCATTAGATGCTAAAATAGATGGGGGGGAAAAGGAACCACTATTAATGACACGCAAATACTGTGCATTAAAACCAATTGTTCTCAGGGATTAAAGGAATGTGGATGGTAGGGAAGTGAGGATAACACTCCCTTACCTTATTTAAGTACTGCCATCATGAATTTTAGAACTCATAATTCTTGAACTCTTGATCTTCCAGCCAATTGAATCTCAATTTGAATCTCAATACCTGTTCCTTCAACACCAAAGAAAAGAACATATGGTAACTCTCTCCCCACAACAATTTTACAGTAATCATTAAATATAAATTATAGGTTTTTTTTAAAAAAAACCCACTTTATTTGATTTATTTGTTTTCTGCTACTTCTTTACATGCTGTTTTGTTGCATAACTTTTGCAATGCTGCTCATTTTCTATTGAGAAGATTTATCAGAGCCAAATTCTTTGTGGAACCCATCACTCTTTCCTTAATCTCTAAAATATCAATCTCTCTATGTACCTATTTTATAAAACGAACAATATTTCTACGAATATAAATTTTCTATGTGCCAAACTGTATATAGGAGGAGAGGAAAGGCGAGAGAGAGTCTATACTGGAAATTGGGAAAGTTTCAAGTTGTACAATTAGAAATACATTGAAGAGAGATTTGGAGATAAAGAAAAGTTAGTGAGACAGATCAAATTAATTTGAGATCACTGTTGAACAGGAATAATCTCTATTATATAACATTTGGTTCCAGGTCACATTTTTCTTTATCTGTACATTATATAGTGCAGTGATAAAGACACTGTTGATAATAGAACCACAGTGGAATAGTGTTTCAATTTAATGCTGGCATTACAAGATTAATAACACTAATGTACTAAAAAAATTGAAATTCAAATTAAATGGTAAACAATGTGCTTTAAAGAAATCCATTTAACATCTGATTACCTAAAATTAGAATATCCTACCCCTTAACCTCAAACTGTTACTTGTTTTCTATAACTATCTACCTTTCACAATTGGCACCCTAGACATTTCTGTATTTTATATTATGTACACTTACTATAGACATTCTCAATAATGATTTGCATTCTAAAATAATGTCATTAAATAAAATGAAAACATTTCAAAACACCGAATCCCATCAAGAAAGCAGGAATGGACATTCCTGTTCAAATCCCTTTTCATTAAAACATTAAATCATATTTAATTATCACTAAATAAGACTAGGGTGCTGCCGGTGTGTGCCCGTAAACTAAAACTTGTCATCTTAACATCATAAACACAAACTATTATGTTTTTTTACTTTTAGAATACATACATACATACATACATACATACATACATACATACATACATACATACATACATACATATGAAAAGATCTTGTGTTTTTGTTTCTCTTCTTACTTAAAATAAGGCTTCAGTGTTTCTGAAATTGGTAAGAATCTAATAGGAATCTAACAGTTCAAGAAATGTTCATGTTAGTCAGAAGCATTGTACACACAGGATTGCTAAAAACAAACTTTTCTGAAGTCCTGCTTACCGCCTTTGAAATGTTGCTTAGAAGTTCATGAATGTTTGGGGAAAAAAAACTGATATGCAAAGATCAGCTCCAAGCTGGACTCCAAGTAGCAAATCTGTCGCTGTAAAAAGACTACCTTCCTCCAAATGTGCTGAGATGATTTTTGAAAATGGATGTTTAGCTAACTTTCCTACGATGAGATTTCTGCTACCATAAATGGTAAGGAATGGAAATGTGCAGGCTTTTACAAGATTAATCATGCAATGCAGGATCTGATGTGTTTTGAACAATTGTAAACTAGATTTTTCTATTTTGTTGTGCTGGAAATGGAAAGATTCCTGCTTTGTAAATTATAATGCAGCTAAATATAGTCTCCATGCACTGGCTTACTTTTTAAAGTAACTGAGAATCCATGGCATTCCTAAATATTAACTTAAAGAGACTCTACTGCCAAGTCATTACTTTTTTTCTTCTCATTTTATATTAAGATAAGATTTGTGTTCAATTTTTCATATAAATCCAAATGCAGTATACATTTGGATTTATATGAACAATTGAATACAAAGTGTTGATTCTCTTGGATTTCAAAACATAATAAGCCATGATGTTACCTTGGTGATTCTTATTTTCCTCATGGAAACATGCCTCTCAGCAAATAAAGAAAACTGAGAAATAATAATTAAAAAAATAAAGGTTTTAATAAGAATAGGCCAAAGATTCCCCAAAGATTATGTTTACTTGATTATTCATCTTGACTGCCACCTTTTTCATCCAGTCACGTGGAAGTTAAAAGTTATTACTGAATCTGTCTGATAATTGTATGTAGAAATTTAAAGAACTTTTAAATAACGAAACTATATGCTTGCAGACATGGATTCAAAAGGATTTAGAATTCTGAAAAAGTTGTAAATGAATGGTCATGTTTCAATGCCATTGTTTACTAAAGGATGGCACAAATTTTGAGAAGATGGTTTTTAGGGAGTGAAAAATTCCAGCAAAATATTGAAAGCAAAACTCTATTTTTTACATGTTCTTTAAAGTAGCTGTGTTTCATTTTTAGATTGTACCGTGGTGCTGTACAAATTCTGCATAATCCCTGGAAAAGATGCTGTTGGTTTACAGTAGGAGACAGGGCCTGGATTTGTATCTCCTACACTCAGCTTTTTTGAAATTAGTCTGGGGCATTCGGCTGGGCTCCTTTTTTCACCCACCCTCCTTAATAGTGTCTGGTACCGTAATAATACATTACGTTTAAGAAATAAAATAATGAAAATCATACTTTTTTCTTGGAGCTTAACTGAAATCAGTTAATAAACAACCCTAGCAGAAAAGTTGGGCCTGGTTTTCCAGCATTCAGTTCTAGTTCACCTCAGGGCACCAGGAATAGGGTTTTTTTGTTCAATCAAATGAAAACACCCTTTCAATAAGGAGAGCAATGTTTTCTACAGACGTAAGCCATTGTGCCACCATTTTAGCACCATTAACAAAGATGCTAAAAAATCAAGCTGGAGTGAAATGTACAGAGTATTCATGATTCAAATGAAGAGAGGTCGTCTTGTCTTTCCTTTCTTTTAGACTGCTGATTACTAGTACTTTGGACTGAATATTGCTTCCTACTTATAGTACTTTTATCCATGGTACTTTCCAGATAAAACAAACAATTCTCAGTCCTCCTGAAGCCTACTCTATATTAGTTAAACTTTGAGGCAAAGAAAAAGGAAGGAAGGTAAACAAGATACTGTTCATTCAATCCCATTTCAAGTTCAGATTAACCTCTGAGAAACTTCAGCTGAGGGCATGCTGGCTCAAGAGTTCCAAAAATCTACATATCCAAGCTAGGGGTAGCTGCTTTAAAAAAAAACTCTGAAAACCATGCATCATTCTGCAGTTCTTCTTTTTGATTTGGAATACAGGAAATACACTTATTATTTATTTAGCATATGGTTAAATGTTAAGAAGCACATCACACTTACATTTTCATTGAGTAAATATGAAACTGTTTATTCCATTTACAAATTCAAAGGTAAATTGAAAGGTAGTATACTATTTATATAGTCAATACATGATTAGTCGCATACAGGCTTTCTGATGTTTTTCTGAAATTTAGTGTATTAGACTGCTAATTTCAAACCAATATGTGAAATGTGGACTTTTTCTTTTTCTTTTTTTCATGCAGTTTTTGCCTATGAGTTTACCAAGAGAAAGTTGGAGCAGTTCCTGGAAGGTTGCCATGTTACCTTTTTGCAACATGGAATGGAGAGATTTTTACCAATGAAAATACTAACACATTGACATTTTGGGAATTTTTGTGAATCCCAGTCTACTTATCAGAAGCCAGGAGTATTGCCCCAGTTTCTTTGCAGTTCCTTTGCCTATGTGGTGAATGATTTGATTAAATGAAGCATGATAAGCAAAACAATTGTTATTAAAAATAAAAACATCTTTTTATTTATGTTTACTTTTTAAAAGCAATTGGAATGAAAGCAACGGTTAAGGTCTTCCTTAACAACTAGATTAAATTGATTTTAAAAATGTGATTATTCTTAGATTCATTCCTTTACTATTTAGGACTCTGTCTGATTATTCAATACAGGTAGTCCTGGATTTACAACAGTTCTTTTAGTGGCTGTTCAAAGATACAACAACACTGCAAAAAGTGACTTATGGCTGTTTTTCAAACTTATGATCTTTGCTGCATCTCCAGGGCCACATGATCAAAATTCAAATGATTGTCAGCTGACTCATGTTTGTGACAGTTCCATTGTCCCAGGGTTATGTGATCACTTTTTATGATCGTCTTGCAAACAAAGTCAATGGAGAAGCCAGATTCACTTAACAACTGTGTTAGGTACTAACAATAACTGCAGTGATTCACTTAACAACTATGGCAAGAAAAGTCATAAAATGGAGCAAAAATCACTTAACAAATGTTTTAATTAGCAACAGAAATTTTGGGCTCAATTATGATTGTAAGTCAAGGACTATCTGTATGTAAGAGATTACCTTGAATAATTATTTTTTGATGTATCGATGTGTTTATTTTTTTAAACAGACTTATATAGCTACCCACAATGTAACAATAAAACAGTAAATGAAAGAGTGCCATATGAATCAGTATAAACAATTAGAAACCCTCAAACCATGCAATAAAAATCTCTAAAAATTCAAGGCACTCCAAGGTAGCACTGTGCCATACTTACACACCATCTTGCTGTGTTCCAACTTTGTCCTACCCCAATGCTTCTGGCAAGCTTCCAAAGAAGCAAGGAAGAGTGGGGCCTAATGAATCTCTAGAGACAAGGTATTCCGCCGGGTAGGGGCAACTACAGAGAAGGCAAACTTTCTAGTTCCCGCTAGGTGACAGTTTTTTAAATAAGAGAACTGGACTGGAGCTCACCTTATTTGATCTAATGGAATAGGCAGTTGCTGCCCTATAAGTACACTGATTCAATGGCATATAGGTCTTAAAGATTATAATTGCACCTGGAAAGGAACTATAAGACGATGCCACTTACATAGAAATGGTGTAAGAGGAAGAGACTGTGAAGTGCTCAGAACTCATGTGTTGTCACATTCTGAACTAGTTGCAATTTTCAGATGGTCTTCAAGAGCATGCCCGTGTAGAATGCATTGTAGTAATACACCCAGGAAATGCTATGGTAGAAGTTTGGATTTTTAAAATCACAAGTGTTTTCATGCCTTTACCTACTAATTGTATGAGGTGGTTATCCCCTTCCACCTTTATCAACATAATTGATAAAAGCTTGCAGAATAATTTGCATATCTACTCAAGCTTTGGCTTAATATCCCTTATTTGCATTTACATGTATTTATTAAAACATTTATAAAGTGTCCATCACTTAACTAACTCTGGACAAGTCTAGATTATAAATTAAAACAATATATGTAAAAGGATAATTCCTAGCAAGTAACTATCTTTCTTCCTTCTGCCCTTCTTCCCTCCCTCCCTCCCTCCATGGCAGACCTCAGGAAAGAAAAAGATAATATATACTAATATTATTTTTTTACTTCCAAATTGCCTTACTAATATTGGTTTTTTATTTCCAAATTGCCTTCCTTCATCCTGATTTTAATTTCATATGGGAAAATAAATAGCCGTGAATACATATATTCAAACATTTACATACACATTTTATATATACATTTCTCTCAGAAACTAATCCAGGTGGACTGAAGATGGAATGTGGAGATTGTAATTATTATTCATTATTATTATTCATTAAATATTCCAACTCTTTCTGTTGCAAAATTGTACAAAATGTAAAACTACATAATTTTATCAAAAGACTGGGATGAAAGGAGTCTTTCATACTCCAGGCTATATAGACTAATAACTAAGTGTTGCCTGTACTTCATTGGATAACGAAACTGAGTAATCTAACTACAGGTTAAATAGTGTTTTTGATACCCTATGCATTGATAGATACCATATGCAATTAGCATGTGCAGAAAAATATTGGAATTTATTTTTAAAAGATAGCTTTTAACTGAGCTGGTGCTCAGGGATAGGAATTCTTTCTTGTTGTTAAAGAGTCAGTGAACTATAGAATCAGAATATTTCTAATCTTAGAAAAAGCCAAAGACAAAATACAGTCCATTAACAGGACATAGTCAATAGTCATTCTAATGCCAGAAATTGTAATTGTAAAAGAAATGAAATGTAAATGAGAATCTTTTGAAAGTAACTGTAGAAAATTCTTGTTTTTGCAGATAACTAAATGGGAAGACTAAAAAGAAAGTCATAATTCCATATGAATAAAATGGAGGCCGCAATGTTAAAGAATTCACAAAGAAAAATGAATGGTACCTTAATTTAAGGTGCATGTAGATAAAATAGTATACACCTGAGTAGTAGCCTATTCTCCATAGTGTAATTCATGGACAGTTCTGAAAAATAAAAATAAATAAGAAATCATGTAACGGTTAAGAATAAATATTTCAGCCACTGTTAAGACAGGTCATTCTACCTTTAAAAGCATCTGAAAGACTTTTCTTCCAAGAATGAAATAAATACAAAAAATATTTTGGGCTTTTAATGCTGGAAGTTAAGTTTTGTTCTGTAGTTTCATAGAATAGTAGAGGGACAACAAATAAAAGACTTGTCATGGGATCAAGGATGGTACAGTTCTCAAGCAG